TGAATAAATCCAACCCTTCGGAGAATTGACTCCCATTGTAGGGTGAAGAATTACTTACATTAGACAGCAAGGGAAAACCTGCTTGAGATAAGGTGGGCAGATAAAGGACGATTTGATGGTTATTGTTTTTGTAACTGCTCCATCATCAAATCAAAACTGCTAGTCTGGTTTTGAGAGCAGAAAGTGTTTGAGCAGCACTGGAACTCGACTACTGATCAAGCACTAGAACTAAACCTTCCCTCCTTCCATGAATGGAGTAGGACTCAATTTATAAACTTTGGGGGTGTTATCCCCCATAAATCTTGCAAGAATCTGGATCACGCTATCGAATGGCCCAGAGTGATTCCCTTGTTCGGATAATGTTTCATGAACAATTGAAAGCCCTAATGATGTCGAAATTGTGATCCTGGGCTCGTTGAATTCTTCTCATCGATAAGCTAGATTTGATAATAAACCAGTCAGATTTGGAATCCATTTGACCCTCCAATTGAGCACCTAAAACTTCCAAAATAGTTTAATGGCTTGATCCCGACTTTGTTTTGACTCGGATTTGATCAAATTGGAGATATTGGGTCCCCTCGTCGAGCCTAACAGTTTGAATGTAAGCTTTTTGATACATGAGTTAGTGATGATGGATCACTTTTAATTTGAGTTTGAACATATCTTGCTTTGAAAAAGCCTTGAGATTCATGCAAAATGCCTCAAAATTCATGCCAACTGATAAAATTTCTGATGGTGTATCAACATTAAAAGCTATATAATTCACAAAAATAGGCCAACACCTAATCCAGGTTAATTCAAAAGCACGATGATGCGCATAATATCATTTTTTACAGACATACATAAATGACTCTAAAGCTACACCATTTCCATTTTGTTCACACAGCATATCAATTCTTTTTTACAATAACTTCAAATCGCAACCATTATGCATCTATGTCATGATGCGTCTTAAGACTACTCAACCAATTAGATAGCAGCCCTAAATAACATCCAGCAACCACAAAAAAAATTATGACAAAATATGTACTTGGAGAATCAAAAGAAAAAGTTTCTACAAATAAAAATAATTGGTAAAGGGCCAGCAAGGAGAATAAAAGAACAATCTATTACGCTAAAAATTTTGATTTTAGTGATCTTTATAATAGAATAGATACTAAGGAGAATGAAAAATATATGTATAAACTAGCCAAACAAAGAGAAAAGAAAAGTAAATATTTAACTCAAGTAAAGTGTATTAAAAATGAAAATCAAAATGTGTTTTTCTTAGAAAAAGATATTCAACATATATGAGTGAGTTATTTTGATAAACTTTTTACTTTTTAATGAAGTTTTTGAATGAAGTTTTTGAAAATACGATCGATCGTAATGATTTTAATATCGTTATTAACAATAAAACATTTCATTTTTACCGTCACATTAGTAAAAAAAGTTGTTAAGGCTTTTAAGAAAACCAAGGGTGAGGTGACAAGTTTGTAGGATCTAACGTTATCCCAATTGAAGTGTGGAAATAATTAGGAGATTTGGGAGTTTCTTGGCTTACTAAACTCTTTAATATTATTTTAAAAACAAAACAGAACCCCGAGGAGCGGAGGAAGAGTATTTTGGTCCCCATTTTTAAAAATAAGGGGGATGCACAAGAGTGTGCAAACTATAGAGGAATGTGTCATACTTTAAAATTATGGGAGAGAGTAATTGAACATAGGTTAAGACGTATTAGAAAGTTTTCTCACAATCAATTTGGATAGCTGTTATTTTTTCATGGTCAAGAGTTTGTGTTTGTAAACCTAATAAAATTTAGCAATAATATTATCATTTCTTTTGTGATTTTGGCTTCTTTTTCTCCTCCCGTATCAAATTACTAAAAAGAGGAGAAGTTAAGAATAACTCAGGTTGTCAGTTCCATTCCAACAGATTATTGTTACAAGTAGGGAGGAACGCTCTTTAAAGCAGTTCCTTCAAAACAAGACATCAGCTTTTACCAAGCAACATTCTAACACATTATTGTCAATCTCACCACTGAAAATACTTGAGCAGCAGCAAAAAAATGACAAGAAAACCAACTTTATAGAAAGCCATTGAAAAACCTGCCACAAAAGAGCCCATAAACTAATGAGTTATCTTGGCAGAGTGAAACACCACTTATGCACTATTAAATACCATCTAAGCACTGGCAACCATTATCACGATCATTCAGGTTTAGATTAATTAAATATAAAATTGAAAAAAAAAAAAATTTAAGACATGCTACAACTTCCCTAAATTGCAAATATCCACTAAATAGTTGTTTTGAAGTCATAGAAAGGTGGAAACAAAATGGGGAATCGTAGGTTCATATTGGCTTCAGTACATTTAGACCACATTTTCTCAACTAATAAAAAAGACGCAAAGGTTAAACTTTTAGAGGTAACCATTATCCAAGCTGCACCAAGACCATTCAAGGAAAAAGCAGAGAACCTTGATGAAGAAGGATAAGATCACCGTCAATGTTCATGAAATTCAAACACTTCGTAAAAAAATTGACCACTAAATAATTTTTTTTGTAAGAAACTTAATTCCATTCATTAAACTCTTGAAAATCGCAAACAAATTACAATCAAGCGAAAGCGTGAAAACAGCCATAAACAGACATTAAAAGTAAAGAAATTTGAAGCGTTACTCTAAACTAACCCTTAAACTCATGGGTTTTCTTTGAAGGGTGAAGCATTGCTCATGTATTCAAACAGAGCAATGAATTCAGGTCTCAATCATCAACCTTTGGCATCAATATGAAGAATACATAAAAGCTGTATAATAAAAAAAAACAAAACAGATCAACTTCCCCTAAACTGCAAGAAACTTTACGGCATAGAAGACCATCACCTACAGTTAAAGTAGCCAAAAAATGAGCACTACAAAAATTGCATAATAGGTATCAGCACATGCATTTTTAGTGAAAAACAAAAGAGGAGAGACAGCAAGTTGGCGAAGGGCTACCTCCAAAGAAATCAGATTTTTGCAAGTGTTAATGGTGTGATTCCTTTAAACTAATAATGATTGAGTATAACTCAGGGGCAACTAAATATATAGCACTGCAAACATTAATATTTACAAAGCAAGCACCCTTTTTCATTAAGTGCTAAGTAATTATCCCTGTATAGGGATATTTTAAATATAGGGTGAATACATAGCAATCAGAAACAATGTAATATTTACAAACTAGTACTTTTCTTCAATCCTTTCTTACAATCTCACTCAAATATCAAAGTACAAGATAAAACCCATACTTTTCAATTTAAATATATAACACATAAAACAATCAAATTTCCATTTCTTACTCAAACAACACATCATATATTTTATTTAAGATAACTTGAAATCGCAATCTATGGTATGGTGCATCTTATGACTGCTCAACCCAGTAGATAACAACCCTAAAGAACGTCAAAAAGATAGAAAATAAATGACATAGATTTTGTTTCATAAAGATGTCCCATATTTTTAACTCTTGACATCGACAAAGACAACAGTTGCACACGCCTTATGGTATGGTGCTTCATATGACTCCTCAACCCAGCAGATAGCAGCCCTAAAGAACATCAAAAAATTAGAAAATAAATGGCATCAATTTTGTTTCATCAAGAAGTCCCATCTTTTTTATTTTTGACATCAACAAAGACAGCAGTTGCACCCGCCTTCCAAGCTTCTTAGGGCCAATGCGATAGAATATCAAAGAAGCATTAAAATCTGAAAACTGCCAGCAAAAGCAATCCAACGCTCCAATAGTGTGAGGGAAGATCCCATTTCGTGATGAATTGCTATGACACAAGTAAAGGTTGTTGCAGTTACAAGTAAGATTTAATAAAGAAAATTTTGACATTATATGCCCCAAAATTCACAAGTAGGAATTAACGCTACTAGACATTGCTATTGACACCAAAATGTGATTTGAAAGATTTGAATGGAATAAATGTAAAAAATAATGTTTAGATGCTATGTATCTAAATACATAGAAATTTGGCAGTATATATATGTAAATCCCCTTTATTTATTTGGGCTATTATCTACCAGAATAATTTTTGAACAAAAATGCCACCAAATGTGAAACAGCAGCACGATGAACAATCCTTTTGGCCATAAAAAAATCACTATTTTGAAATCTTTACTTTGACTTGAAAAAGGAAACATACCTTTTTATGCATAGGAAAAATAGCATGTGTAAAAATTGAAGTTTAGATGTTATGTAAAAACATGTTCAGGCTCAGATTCATCTTTGTTCCATAAAATAAAACATTCGACCAGTGGCTCATAACAGTAGTGGTTACCCTCAAAGCCATAAGCAGTCCAAGCTACTCTCTCGCCAATACATAGAAAAATGGGCAGATCTCTAAAGACCCGCAAAATGAGTGTCTTTGATATGGGTGTAAGCAGGCTCGACTCGACCCGAGAAATAGTCCATGAATACAACCCTATGAGCTAACAAATCAAGCTCAAGCCAGCCTTACTAACTAAAAATGTTAGCTTTTGTGCTGGCTCATTTAAAAAAAATTAAAATAAAACATAATCAAGTTATCATAAAACTTAATACTTTTTAAATTATTAAAAAATGTTAAAGAAAGATATTTTACTTTTTATATCAAGTTTTTTTTTTTATTATGTTCGACTTAATTACTCATTTCATTTGTCATTTTATTAGAACACAAGCTTGACTTAATATTGTTCTCTCTTTCATAATAAACAAGCTGGCTTGAGATCCAGCTAGAACAAGATAATTAATAAACCTCGAGTATAGCCAAGAATGGCTTGAGCTCTACTCCTTTAAAACCCTAGCCCTCAATGTCCCATTTCTTTATCAATGCTAAAAAATATATACATACAAATATATATATACACACATATACAAGTCAGCAGGTTGAATGTCAGTGGGCTTTGGGGTGGATTTTCTAACATGTTTAATATTCAAGTCAGGTTCAAGCAAACAATTGTGGCTCGGTTAAATTTATGTTTAGATCTGAACTTACCTTACAAATCCGATTTGACACCACTGGAGAGATTCCTGAAATTCATAGAGAAATCTTTTGAGTAATTTATCGGTTGTGTATTCGCGCTCTCCCGCTTTCCCATTTCCGCGAATAAAGGTAACAGTCTTTCTTGAACGAAGCATGTGAGCAATTCTGAAGGTATAAGTCAGCCGAAAGGAGGAAGAACTGGTGCCCTGCAAACAGCTTGTGACCGGAAGAAGAACTGGTGCCTTGCGAGCAGCTAGCAACAGAAGGAATCGTGCAAAAGTAAAGGCAAAACAGGCTTCGTGAGATTCAACTAGCAGGGAGCTTCGTGAGATTCAACTAGCAGGGAGGAAGAGTTTACTGGGAGTTCTTGTAATTTTGTTGAGAAACTATGTGATCTTCAAGTAAAAAAATCCTTTGCAAGTCCGTGAAAGTAGACAATTTGCCGAACCACGTAGACTTGTATGTTCTATCTTTGTGTGAGGATCTTCTCGTTTCAATTTTTCGCTTTATTGCCGTCGTTTTTCACAACATTATTACCATTCATGGCAATAAAAAAGAATACTCATTTTGCTAGTTTGTTGTGGCTTGCATGAAACGTTCCAAAAGAGTAATCTTTATTGGAAATGTAGTTCAGCATTACACATCTGGATGTGCACAATAGAAATCAAAAAACTTCAAGAATAAATCATATGTCACTGCATACCAGCACAAAAGATAAATGAAAAAGAAATTGGAACAATGTTTCATAGAAATTTGATGAGAAAATTTTTATAGCCATCAGTTTTTTTTTCTTCTGAGATGAGTGCAACAAATATTTCAATTAATCAATAACAATACAGAGATTTAAATCTGAAAGCCTCATAATACCTTTAATTAGCCAAACATTCATGCATATGTTCATTTGTGAGAAATACGCCTAATAATCCAATCCATGTTTGGTAATAATCCATGTTTGGCCAAAATTACAACAGAGCTAATGGGAAATGCCAAGCATTTGGAGGGGTCATGACACAGAAGTGTTTAGGTGTTGGACATGTAAATACATAGAAATTGTCTGGTCATGTAAGAAATCTAAAACATTTATAATAAAGATCAAAGTTTAGATTATAGATAAATAATTGTCTGACAATTCAATTGCATCTATGTAACACATAATACCTTTGATTAGCCAAACATTCCTGGATTACGTTCATTTGCGACAAATACGCCTAAGAATCCATGTTTGGCCAAAATTACAACAGAGCTAATGGGAAATGCCAAGCATTTGGAGGGGTCATGACACAGAAGTGTTTAGGTGTTGGACATGTAAATACATAGAAATTGTCTGGTCATGAAAGAAATATAAAACATTTATAATAAAGATCAAAGTTTAGATTATATATAAATAATTGTCTGAGAATTCAATTGCATCTATGTAACACATAATACCTTAAATTAGTCAAACATTCCTGCATTATGTTCATTTGCGAGAAATACGCCTAATAATCCATGTTTGGCCAAAATTACAACAGAACTGATGGGAAATGCCAAACAATTGGAGGGATCAGGGCATGGAAGTGTTTAGGTGTTGGACAAGTAAATACATAGAAATTGTCGGGTCATGTAGGAAATCTAAAACATTTATAATAAAGAACAAAGTTTAGATTATAGATAAATAATTGTCTGAGAATTCAATTGCATCTATGTAACATAATTCCTTTGCAGGGTGAAGCAGTTAATCTAAACACTTAAAGGGCTCCAACATCCTTTGATAGATCAATATGTGAATCATCTGACAACATAAAAGAAACCAAGACTGGCTTCAGCCTTGACTAAACTGCAAGTATCTACAAGCTTTAATGGCTCTTGGTTGCTTGAAAAAGTATGGTTGCTTGAAAAATATAGAAAATTGGGAAGGAAATTGAGAATCAGAAGCTCATATTCTCCTTTGTTCCATCAAAAAACATATACACCAATAAGTTCTTTATTAGGGACCCACGGAAGCAACTGTTAAGCTCAAAACCAAAAGCCTTCAAAGCTGCTTGCAAATGTATAAGAATTGGCTGTTAAGTATTTAAATCCACATCCTAATTTCATTTCACGTCTCTTCTTGATTTTAAAAAGGAAGAATATAAAGCATCAATCAAAATAGCATGGAAGGGAAATTACCATGGTAAATGCTCAATACAGCAATTACAAACATCAAACCACTTTAACGCTCCATCTGGTTGCTTGAAGATATAGAAAAGTAAAAAAAAAAGGTATCATTGGTTCAAATTCACCTTAGTTCCATCAAAAGGCAGATACACCCACATGTTCTCTACCAATGGCACTAGGATGCAGCGGTTACCTGTAGAAGCATAGGTCATTCAAGCTGCTCCATCAGTGCATGAAAAGTGAAGAGATCACTGAAGCACCATGAATAGGGATAAGATCACATTCCATGTTGCATGTAATCATCATCGTCAAATGTAAAATAAGGAAAGAAAGAAGAGAGAAATTTAGTTTCGTAAGCCTCATAATAGCTCAAATTAGATAAAAAAAGGCATTGTTTGTTCTCTTACAAAACATATCCAAAACATTGTTTTGTGCCAGCTGACCATTAAAATTTAGGTGTTAGATATTTAAATACTAAAAATTCGTGTGGTGTGCATGTAAATGCCCGAAAAAGAAACCAAGATAGATTTCTACTTTGACATAGTTACAATAAATTATGTATTTTCAATAGCTCATATGGTTGCTAGAAATATATGGAAAATTGCGGAAAGAAATGGGGAATCAAAAGCTTAGAATCACTATTGTTATATCCAAGAGAATGTACAACAACCGGTGACTCATGGAAGCAACAGTTACATTTACAGGCACAAACCTTCCAAGCACCTCTATCGCCATTGCATGTCGAGACTGAATATCTCTAAAGTAATATAGATAGATAGATGACGAGAGAAAGCGAACGAAAGAGAGAGAGAGGAGTTTTAGATGTTTTTTGTACATCTCAATCCCGTTGTTGCCTTCCTAGCTCCAATCGCTATGGAATCGTGAGGGTTTAATCACGAAGTCAATGATTTTGGACTAAATTGACAGAGCGGGGATAGATTTCGGAGAGGGTTGCGGGTACGACAGGGGAAGAGAAACATTTGGTAAAGATTGGTAAGAAAATTGGAAGACGGAGGGCTCAGATTAACCTTATCTCCATCACCAAGGAGATCCACCCGCTATCTCTACACCAGCGACACACAGAGAGAGCGGTTTCCCGTAGAATAACGGGCCATCCAAGCTGCTCCGGCGCCAAAGCAAGAGAGGCATTGCGATCTCTAAAGCACCCTCGGAAGCATTCCTAAAGCGGATTAAGATCTCCTTCCGTGATGGATTTCATCGTCATTGCCCAATTAGAGGAGCGCTCGTTGGAAGGATTACGTCAAAGTAATCAACGGCCATGGAGGAGCCTGGCATTAGACCATCCTCCATATGCCTCATACTTAAACTAATGAGTTAGGGTTTTCGTTGCACGGCGATGTCAATTTATACAAGAACTGGATGGATTTCACGGACATTTTCTTTTGGCTTATCAGTCCTCGGATATTATCCGACGGCTGGGAAAAGAAGAAGAAAGCCTTTTGCGGAATTCAACTCCCAATGAATTGTAATTAAATAAACAGCTTACTCGTTGCGGTGGTGGCCTGAGGGGGGTTTTGAAAAAGTCTTCAATCATTCATTCGGGAGACAGCATGTAAGTTTACCTGCGGTAGAAAATAAAAAAGCAACACATAAAGTTGGGTTCATCGTAAAAAAAAAAGAGAACTTATTTTTACAGTACCACCCGGTTCGAGCTTCGCTCAACATAAAATAAAACATTTATTTGTCAGCATCCGATCCCGCCAAATTTAAATTTTGTCATTTTAAATTCCGCAAAACTGGGAGAAAAAAAATTTTAGCTTTAATTCCTTTTTAAGGTTCAGGAATTATTTTTTTTTCATTTGAGTTCGTATTCGGAATCGTGTTCGACAGTTAAGGTTCTTCCGATAGATTTCTCTCTCGCCAAAAAAATGTTGATGGAATCGCAAAATAATTGCGAGAATAATGTCAATGAGCTGAGCTTATTAGTTGATGCACGTAGCATTCCACAATTAAATTTATTTCTTTCTATTTAGTGGTACTATTAATTGCGTCCTAATGATTGGAATATTAAATAGTTATTTTTGTTTGATTATTATATGTTTTGATTATAACATTGTTGTTATGTTGGAGGGTAAACGTGGTGTTAGTTATGTATTATCATGGTGTTTAGGGTTAAGGGTTTATAACCATAATACAACCATAATAACAGCAAAATGACATCAGATTGAAAAAATCATTTATGCATCTTAATAACATCATAATAACATCAAAATAACAGTCACTTTGAACTGTACATTTGTGTTATTATAATACCATAATACAACCATAATGTATTTTATATGATTTGGTATTATCATAGTGTTATGTTGTCGTTATAATTAGTATTATTTTGGTGTTATTTCCATTTTATTATGGTTATATTATGATATTATTATTATATTATTGGCTTTGAATTATACATTTGGGTTATTATAAAACCATAATACAATTATAATGTATTTCATATGTTTTTGTATTATCATGGTGTTATGTTGTCGTTGTGATTAATGTTATTTTGGTGTTATTTCTGTGTTATTATGGTTATATTATGATATTATTGTTGTATTATTGGTTTCGAACTACTTTTATGTTATTATAATATTATAATACAACCATAATGTATTCCATATGTTTTGGTATTATCATGGCGTTATGTTGCTATTGTAATTAGTGTTATTTGGTGTTATTTTTTGTGTTACTATGGTTATATCATGATATTATTATTGTTTTATTGATTTTGAACTACTTTTGTATTATTATGATATTATTTTTGTATTATTACTGTGGTATTATGCTATTATTTCTGTATCGTTTCATACTAGTCTTATTGAATTTATTAATTTGTTTTGTTAAGTCGTTATTTTCTTTATTCTAATTGTGATATATTGAAAATTACAGTTCCCCGTGCCTGTAACTGTGTGCATTGATCTAATTGCAGAAAGCTTGTTTCGCACGGTGGTTCATAATGAGAAAGAAGCTTAAGAACAATATTGTGCACATGCACGCCAATTTGGATTTACTGTGCAAAAGGACCACGTTGGTTTTTGGTCGAATTCAAAAATGATTAAGATAAAGAATTTGATTTGTTGTAAGACTGGTTTCAAGAAAGAATTGAATAACAATGTGACTGTGAAATACAGAAGAGGGGACACAATGACTGGTTGTCTAGCCATGATCCTATATGTCGTCGATCTCGAAGGTAGCTAGTCAGTTAAGAAATTTATGAAAACTCATAATCATCCTTTGACGGCAAACGGTGACAAACATCTATTGTGTTCCAGCAAAAAGATAAGTGATATAAATGCAGAAGTGCTTAGATCGATGACACAATTAGGGATTAGAACAAACGATGCATTTAGTTTTCTGGCTACATAATATGGGGGTGTGGAAAATCTTGATTGCACGAAGAGAGATACTTATAATTTCATACAGAGAGAAAAAAAAATTTAAAATTAAACATGGGGACGCTAATTCTCTTCTACGATTGTTCACTAGATGCAAGCTGAGGATACGATGTTTGCATGGGACATCCAGATTGATGAGTCTGGTAGCTTGTTGAATTTCTTTTGGAGTGATGAGATATCGAGACTCAATTACGATTGCTTTAGGGAAGTCATAATATTTGATATAAGTTCTAACAATAAATACAATTTATGGTGTGCTCCTATCGTCAGTGTGAACCACCACTAGCAGAATGTTCTATTTGGAGTTGGTGGAGTTGGTTTTTTGTCAGATTTTTTTGTCAGATGAAATTGTTGACTCATTCAAGTGGCTATTCAAATCATTTATCCGGATAATGGATAACAAATATCTGAGATCAATATTCAATGATCAGGATCAAGCAATGGCCAGAAGTCATTGAAGAGCGTATTTTGCAGACCAGACATAAATTATGTCAATGACATATTTACAAGAAATTGTCTTCAAATGTCCATTGTCGTGTGAGCACTAAGAGAGTTAATGAGTTTTTTTATAAATGCATGGGTAGATGCAACTCCAAGGAGGAGTTTGAAGAAACCTAGCGTACAATGATTGAGCTAGGAAATCTACACGACAATACTTGGTTGAATAGTTTGTATAATATCACCAAAAAGTGGTCAATTGCCTTCAATATTTAGGATGGGAATCCAATAAACGTAAAAAAGTGAGTCCGCAAATAACATCTGTCATGGTGCCTCCAAGCCAACAAGCACCCTCACTGAAAGTTTCTTGGGTCTTGAAAATGTCATGAAATATTGGCGAAGGAATGAGAATGATGAAAATTTTAAATGTGAACAGTTTGCAATTGTTCTCGCAGTAAGAAGTTGTCCTATGTTCAGACAATGTGCTTTAGTTTACAGGAGAAAGTTATATTCAATATTTGAAACAGAGCTGCTACATGGTTTGTGTGGACATGCTATGGAGTGCTCAGCCACCGAAGATTTTGAATTTTACATTATAAACTTAGATAGTGGACATACAGACAGACCCTGGATTGTTAAAGTCGACAAAAGTAACTCTAAAATTACATGCAGTTGCAAAAAAATTGAAATGATGGGTTTATTTTGTTCTCACACTCTAAGAGTGTTTAGTTATGAGAATATAACAAACATCTCTAATAAATATATATTATTACGGTAGTTTGTTCATGTAAAGAAGGATATATATAACAGTTATGAGTATAAACATCTGAATGATTCGCAAATGTCACAAAGTTGTTCAAGTGGACTCATATATCGAACACACGTTCATAAATTTGTATACTGAATCAGTATATTAATGCAAGGCAATGAACTTGCTGAGAAAAACATCTTAGAGACATTAAAGAAACTAACAATCGAATCATAGGTCATATTGAATGGGAGAGACCACCAGGAAAAGTCAAAGTCAAAGAAGAAAAAGACACTGAATATACAACATAATTTGAACGACCCAACGAAAATTCGCCAAAAGGAATATCTAATGCAAGGTTAAAAGGAGATTGGGAAAAGAACAAGAGAGTAAAAAGTAAGCATTACCAGTAGTATTAATAAAGATGTCTTCACTACCAATAATATTAATAAACATAACATGAAGCATTGTATTACAGGAAAGGACAAAGATGTTGGTTCCAGTCAAAATACATTTAATCTATCTGACCCAAATCTGTTTGCAATGTTAGATCAATATAGTCGGGTACATAACTTAAAATTCGAAAGACTTTGCTTAAAATTCAAAACACTTTGTAATTTGTGAACTAATTTTGATTATACTTATTTACTTACATTCATTTTTTACTTACATTCATTTTTTATTACCCAAAATCAATAGGAATTGCATGCATCACTGCCCACAAACACATATATGAGCTTATTGATAGGTCGATTTCATATGTGAAATACCAAGAAACTGTATTGAATGAACGTAATGTGGTATTAATGTAGTGATGTAGTGTTACATGAAATACCAGGAAACCTCAATACTATGATAATATGCATGCAAATACGAGTGGTAGAAGCTAGTTGTGATTATATATTTTGCGAGCTTTTTTAGACTGCGTTGAATATTACCATAAAACAACCAAGATATTGCAGCACTTGATAAAAAATATATCCTAGTTTGATTGGAATATTCATTTGTTGTATTCTCCAGTCTGCGGTTGTATCTTGATTGTTCCGATGATATATTTATAATATTAAGCTGTTTTTATATATTTCATCATAAAATGTGTTAAGTAAAAAGTAATAAAACCATATAATTATTATAATATTCACTAAATATGCATGGAATAAGTTAGAATTGCTTAAAATATTTTGCGAGTTTTTTTAAGCCAGCGTTGAATAACCTGCATTGAATATTACCAAAATATTACAAAAGTATAACCATAATACAACCAGAATATAGCAACACTCGATAAGGAATATATTTTGATTTAATTGGAATATTCTTTTGTTGTATTTCACCATTTCGGCCGTATCTCGATTGTTTCGAGGATATATTTATAATATTAAGCTGTTTTTATATATTTCATAATAAAATGTGTTAAATAAAAAGCAATAAAACCATATAATTATTATAATATTCACTAAGTACGCCTGGAATAAGTTAGAATTGCTTAAAATATTTTGCGAGTTTTTTTTAAGCCAGCGTTAAATAACCAACATTCAATATTACCAAAGTATTACCATAATACTAGTGTTAGGATATAGCAGCGCTCGATAAGAAATATATCCTGATTTGATTGAAATATTTTTTTTCTGTATTCTCCACTCTGTTGTCGTATCTTGATTGTTCTGAGGATATATTTATAATATGAAACAATTTTTATATATTTCATCATAAAATGTGTTAAATAAATAACAATAAAATCATATAATTATTATAATATTCATTAAATCTGTCTGGAATAATTTAAGATTGCTTAAAATATTTTGTGAGTTTTTTTAATCCAACGTTGAATAATCAACGTTCAATATTACTAAAATATTATCAAAATATCACAATAATACAACCAGGATATAACAGCGCTTGATAAGGAATATATCCTGATTTGATTGAAATATTCTTTTATTGTATTCTTCACTATGCGGTCGTATCTTGATTATTCCGATGATATATTTATAATATTAAGCTGTTTTTATATATTTCATTATAAAATGTGTTAAATAAAAAACAATAAAATCATTTATTTATTATAATATTCACTAAATACGTCTGAAATAAGTTATGATTGATTAAAATATTTTGCGAGTTTTTTTTAGCCAGCGCTGAATAGCCAACGTTCAATATTACTAAAATATTAACATAATACAACCAAAATATAACAACGCTCGATAATGAATATATCCTGGTTTGATTGGAATATTCATTTGTTGTGTTCTCCACTTCGCAGTCGTATCTTGATTGTTCTGAGGATTTATTTATAATATTAAGTTTTTTTTATATATCTCATCATAAAATGTGTTAAATAAAAGCATTAAAATTATATAATTATTGTAATATTTACTAAATGCACCTGGAATAAGCTAGAATTGATTAAAATTTTTTGCGAGTTTTTTTTAGCCAGCATTGAATAACCAACGTTTAATATTACCAAAATACTATCATAATACAACCAAAATATAACAGCGCTCAATAAGAAATATATCTTGGTTTTATTGGAATATTCATTCGTTGTATTCTCCACTCCGCGGTCGTAATTTAGTTGTTCTGATGAAATATTTATAATATATTTATAATATTAAGTTGTTTTATAATATTAAGTTGTTTTTAAATATTTCATCATAAAATGTGTTAAATAAAAAGTAATAAAACCATATAACTATTATAATATTCACTAAATAACCTGGAATAAGTTAGGATTGCTTAAAATATTTTGCGAGTTTTTTTATGCCAACGTTGAATAACCACGATATTACAATAATAATATGATATCAGAGAGAAAATAACAACTATTTTATAAAAAAATATTTGGCTGAATTTAATCAATAAATCCTCAAGTACCCGAAACTCAATATTTGGCTGAATTTAATAAATATAATAATAAATCCTATTAAAGCATCTACCAGTAGGGTTGTCAATTTGGCTTGTTGTTCGTGAACAGCTCGTGTTCGATTCGTTAAGCATATATTATATTGGACGACCTCATGTGACAATGTGGTTGGTGTCTTCTTTTGTATAATATTCGATCCAGGTTCGAATCCCACACTTTACATTTATTTTTCTCAATTTTTGTTTAACAAGCAAATTTCGAGCCGAACACGAACACAAATATTTAAATCGAGTCGAACACGAACACACTGTTCACGAGCCGATTTCGAACACGAGCTATTTCGAATGAGCCGAACACAAACCAAGCATGAGCTCGCTCAAGCTCGGCTCGTTTACAGCCCTATCTACCAGTTTAGCCTAACAGGCAACTAAACTGAAACCAAATAAAATGTGGAAACCATTAACGCACATAAGATTTTTGCCTCCTAAGTTATGGGGCAGAAACCAGGAACAAAAGTTTCTAAATTCATTGAATGACAATAATCAATGCCCTTATATTCTCCAACCACATAAATAAAACCATAGAATTTACATCGGAACAAAACATATATGTTAACAAATTAGCCACCACTTAATTCTTATGGATTTACATATCCAACACGAAAATGATAATTCATTCAACTATTTCTCTTTTTTTTCGAAAATTGAGAGTAGAAACTCGGCCTTTGGTTCAAACAAAAGAAAGTTTACAGCCAGCTTTGCCTCCTCGGCTCAAGAATTTGATGTCATAAATCTATCAAGAAAATTTACGGACTTTACCAGATATGAGCCTCCAATTCACAACGAACAAAATTTCATCATCCCATCATACCTGGTTTTCTTTCGCAGTCTCTCTGAAATAGCACCAAAACACAAGTTAGCTGTAATACAGTGCAGAGGAAGGCCAAACTAAGAAAATGTTGGGAAATTTACATACATGCCAAACAATTCTTATGTGTTTACATATCTAACACCAAAAGTTTGATGTTTACACTTATAACAATTTGATGTCATGAATCTATGCATTGAACATGACACATCACATTAATTGTGATGTTTAATGTGATGTTTTTCATGTGATGTCAAGGGTTTGAGTGGTATGCACCTAAATATGAATATTTGGGCGTTAGATATTAAAATATATAGGAATGTGGTATGTATGCCGTCCAAAAATCAATGCATTCTTAGAACTGATGATGTAAAGGTTGTCAATAACTTTAAGAAATTTTTTTTTCAATATTTATATTATTAATCCTTATCATGAATTATGAATCATCTCAAAACCATTAGTTAGGACTTAAAATCAGTGAGTTATGATCTTCTAAAATCAAACCCCAACCTTAATATCTCCCTATGTAAATGTCCTTCTAAATTTCATTAATTTTGAAAAATTACAAATTTATTCTTTATAAGACCAAAGTGAAATTGATTACTACCATTTATCCCTTTCATATTTCAATCATCAAAATATATCAATTAAGATTATTTATTGCCCATTTAGCCATTGGGTTAAGCCTAGATATTGATTAAGTATTAAATTCCAAAATTACTCTTTTGCCCCTAAGTCCTTAATACCCTCATAATTCATTAAATTAGACTCCAATGACTTGATATAAACAGACAACACACAAATTAAGTGGTCTGCATGCAATCCCCTGTTTTAATTTTATTTCACTTCTTTTAGTTGAATCTGACAAAAACCTTTCAGAAAACTAGAGAAAATATGGAGAACCAACAAAACATCAAGGAAGCAACTGTTAACCTCAGAAAGGCCCTCATAAGCTCGTGTCATTGCCATTGCAAGAAAAGAGGGTAGATCTACAGCACCACAAAAAGAAATCCAACAACCCCATATAGGGGGAATAATCTCTTTCAATGATGTATTTTATTTCCATTGCCATCGATATAATTTACATACATACTACACAATTCTTATGTATTCACATATTTAATACCAAAACATTCACTTTTACATGAATGGCACCCAAATTTTTAATATTAAATAAAAAATAGAGCTACTACTAACTTTTTAAAAATGAAATACAATTTCTCATGCATAATTTATGACGCAAGTATTATATATGTAATTAGAAATGTAAAAACATAGATAAATGAAATTAATTCTCATAATAATCAAAATTGTATGTTTACCTTGTAATCTTTAGTGCAAACATAAATATTAAAGTTTAGATGTTTTATATGTAAATACATAAGAAGTGGGCCGTGTAACAACCCGAATTCTCATCGATCGATCGAGTTATTGTCCACTTTGGATTAATAGCTCATTACTTTGTACTATTAGTGTAACTTCCGAGAGACCACCCATCTCAGTAGCCTCCCTCGCGGCACACTTAACCATGGAATTTCTGTTGAAAGTCCAGAGTGTTAACACCAAAAAAGCACCTCGCTGGTGCTTTTTAAGAGTTCAGATACATTATACTTAAGGGGTTTTACATGTGGATTAAGTATCACTTCCTTCTATTGAATTTTAAAAAAAGTAGCCTTCAAAAAATAGGGGAGAAAATACAGAGTATAATTCAAAACATCATGGAAGAACAGTTACCATAATAACTGCTTAACACAATTATAACCTAAGCAATCATTAAAAGGGATAAAAGAAATTGAATAGTCGAAGGAAAACATTTGCCTCTATTCCAATCTGAAAAAGATCCAACCAACTTAGTCAACACGACATACATGCAGTAGCTGCGCAAAGATGCACGGGCCATCCAAACTGCACAAATACAACAAAGTTTTCTTTTAAGGGTGTAGCATTAATTGTTTATTTATAAGTATACAGATCATCATACAACAGAAAAGAAACAAAGACAAACGTCAAATTTAACTAAATTGCTGGAATCAACAAACTTGAAGAACACATATAGTAGCTGTTGACGATAAAGAAAAGTAAGAAGGACATGGAGAATCAAAAGCTCACATTCACCATTGTTCCATCAAAAGGCACATCCCCTAAAAAACAGGGGCCTTCCTAAATGCTCGTAAATGTATAAGAATTGAGAGAGCGTGTTGAGAATTTTAGGGCAAAGAAAACGCAAGAATTGACACAAATCATAAAGAACACAGATTTAACGATGTTCGGCAAAAATGCTTACGTCATCGAGAGCAGAGTAGCAGTTTTTCCTTCAATTTGAAAAAAAGAGTACAAAATACCCTTAAAGTTACAATACATCATATATATATATATATATATATATATATGATGTATTCTTTATGATATATATATATATATATAGCCCTGACGTATAATATGTAATTACAACACACCATTCCGCTGGCTCGCTCCGTTCCGCTCTAGAATCTATCCCTTAGCTGATATATGAGCCATACCTAACAAAGTGGTATGTATGTTTCAAGTGGCTACAACTGCCTCCAAATAACATTGTAAAATATTCACGAAATTTTCAAAAACAGCTTAGATCTTTTTCCCCCTGAAAATTAAGCCAAAAACCTTTTCAAGCACGCAAGTTCTAGACTTTCATAAAAAGCAGATAAAAATTACAATCCAATAGAATTATGGTTCTGATTATTAATGAGTTTTCTTGGGAAAGTGAAGCAGCACTAATAAATTTATACATGACATAAGAGTTCTGATCTCCACTAGCATGTGAGTATATAAATAATTCAGAGCCAGGTTAAACAAAAGAAAAAGAAACAAATACAGATTACAACTTTGGCTAAATTGCAAATAACCCACTGGAACGCCCCAAGTGGTTGCTTGGAGATATAGAAAAGCTGAAAGAAATGGGGAATCATTAGCTCAGATTTCCATAGTTCTATTAAAAAGAAGCAAAAAGAAAAATCCACATGTTCTCTACCTATGAAACTAGTTGCGGTATTTACTTGCAGAAGCATAGGTCCAAGTTGCTCCACCATTGCATGAGTAAAGCAAAGATCCACAGAAATAAGATCTTCTTCCATGCTGAATTCAATCATCATAGCCTAATCAAACGAGCGTGCGAGCAGAGAGAGAGAGAGAGAGATAGGGACTCATGAGATTCATAGAGAAGAAAATTTTCAATAATTTACAGCCATTCCCACATTATATTCATTTGGACAAATATTTGGCCAAATAATTACAAAAGAACTAAAACAAACTCCAGTAAAAAAATTACCTCTAGTATTTGGAAGGTTGATGACAACAAAGTGTTCACTGTCCATGCTGAATTCAATCATCATAGCCTAATCAAATGCGCGTGCGAGCAGAGAGAGAGAGAGAGAGATAGGGACTCATGAGATTCATAGAGAAGAAAATTTTCAATAATTTACAGTCATTCCCACATTATATTCATTTGGACAAATATTTGGCCAAATAATTACAAAAGAACTAAAACAAACTCCAGTAAAAAAATTACCTCTAGTATTTGGAAGGTTGATGACAACAAAGTGTTGTCACTGTAAATATCAAACTTTAGGTGTTTGACATGACAATACATAGAAGTCGTGTGGTAATGTAAGTAAACTTCGCTAAAATATTTCAGAATTACACAGCAAATTTAGATTTTAGATAAATAAATATATAAAAATTCAATGGCAAGTATATAAATCCCCATTCTTCATATTTTTGAAAAGATGATTAACAAGTCCTAACTGTACATCAAAAAGATGTCTACATCGATCTTACAAATCTAAAGGTCCAGAAGAGAGCAGTATGATGGAGAAGAATCCCCTGCAAAGAGATTGTGACCGAACGAGCCAAGTGAACATGACCTAGCCAAAAAGCTGGGAAAAAAAATAAAACAAAGCGATCCGAGTATAAACAATTCGACCGGGAATGAGACAGGAGGGCATCCGGGCCATAAACTGTAGAATAGCCGGCTAAATTCAATAGAACATCATGTGGTAGAGTCGGCATAATAAGGGAGCCAATTCCACAAAGTATCTTCGACCATCCAACAGAAATTCAAAGACTACTTACCAGAGAGAAGATGGTCAACCACGTTGGATCAACTGATCGAGCTAATGTAGTGGAGCCAAGTCAACTAAGCTTAGCCGGACCAAAAGGCAACAGGGAGATAAATTGCCGCTTGCAAAATGCCAGAAACACCAATACAGACCCTCTCTAAATGAGGATTAAAATGTAATATCATTATTGTACTAAAATCTCTATAAATAGACATAACATTTAATGAATAGGTTTATACAATTTTACTGCTCATTTTAGAGATTATAGCTCTGCTCTCTCCATCTACATTTCCACCCTCTTCTCAGGCTCTATTCATTGGGTGTAAAACACAAAAAACTTTGGATTCAACACCAACATATCTTTTCAATAACAAAATTGATTCTCCCCATGAAAATTCTAAAAATCAACAAGAAAAAAAAAACCAAGTGGGCACTAAAACAAAATAAAATTATTGGAAGAGTGAAGCATTACCACATTTATTTACCATATTTGGATCATTCAACAACAAAAAAGAAACCAAGAAAGACTTCAACTTTGATTAAATAACAATAATTGTACACATATAGTTGATTGCAGACATGAAAAAGTGACAAAGAAATGGGCAATCCGAAACACACATTCGCCTTTGTACCACCAAAAAGAATTTCCACCAACCAGTTTAACAAGGACTCATGGAGGCAACAGAACCCCTCAACAGCAAGTGCCTTCCAAGCTGTACGTAAATACATAAGAATTGAGTGGAATTTATGTAAACACCCCATCTTAACTTCATTTCACATCCCCTTTTTTGGATTTGAAAAAAACATTTTGAGAAAATTAAATCTGAAGCAGCACTGAAAACAACATGGAAGCTATATTTACCATGGTAACTACTCAACGCAGCATTCCTAGCAAATAAATCATCATGAAGCGGCTGCAACTGCTAGCTTTTACAAATGAAAATAATTTGTGGTGGAATAATAATATGCAAGAAAAAAAAAAATATAAGAAGATTTGTTATAAAAATTTGTTTAAATATAAACACATAGAGGATTGGGAAAAATATAAAGCGACCTGTATGGGAGTCTAAGAGAACAATTTGTGATAGGGCGAAACGGTGAAAAAGGGTTAATGCAGCCAACCCCACTTAGTGGGATAAAGGCTTGTTGTTGTTGTTGTATCATTGATTAGCCACAACATAACAAATATAATACTATAAATTATTGTTCATTTGACAAAAGTTAGGACTGAAAATGAACCAAAGCGCTCGATGGACAACTAGAACTCGTCTCGATTAAGACTCGACATTTTTGTTCAAATTAGTAAATATACACACTTAAAAAATTTTTAAAAGCTTCAAGCTTAAATGAACTAAACATGAACATAGTCGAGCTTATTCATTTATGATCATGAACAAACTATTTTTTTGTTCAAAAATTAAATACTTGGCATTCAGCTTCATGATTACAAGTTAAGAAATAGAAAAGTGCATGTCACTATAAGAAAACCAATGCAGACAATTGAATATTAAAATTTGTTGCAAACTTAGAAGTATGATCATGTTAAAATATGAGAGATTAAATCCATTATGATCATAATTCATGAGTTACTTTTTCATTTTTACAGTGTTTATAATTGGTATTAATATAATTGATAAATTAATATGTGCAATCAAATTTATAAAATTATTTATTCAAATCTTTTATATGAAATTTAGATACTCAAATAAAATTTATTCGTTTATTAGGTCAATTAAATACTCGTTGACTTGTCCTAAATAAATAAAGTACAAATCAAGTTCAAAAATTGAAAATTTTAAACAAGTTAAGCTTGAAGAATAATTAAAAGCTCGACATAAGCACAAGCTAAAAATGAACAACTTATAATTATACCAAGCCAAGTCTGAACCAAGTCATTTAAACATTTATGCGGCAGAGGGATTTTATTCGTGTATTTCTAAGAAAAGTTTCATTTTTTTAATGCTTTCTACCTGCTTTGTTGTTAAAAAAATTGACATATCCAACAAATTCTCCAGATAGAGGGTACATAAGAAATTTCTAGGCAAACCAAAATTTTCGGCCAGAGCTGGACCGTACAGTCTTTGAAAGGCAGGAACATGCTAAGGTTATTTACCAAGTTAATCAAGTATCTAAGAAATTAACCTTCAAACAGATGACTGAAAATTGGCCAGGCCATCAAAACCTCATGAACGATAACTTATTATTGCCATTTAACTGCTTGACCAAGCAAAATCACCATGTCAGGCGAAGGCACCAGTTGCTCACAGATGAATAGGCCATCTCAGTTGCTTTGAGGCCATTAAGGAGACTGACAGAGCAGTAATTTAAGCCAGATTTGGACAATAAAAGAAAGAAAACCTAGTCTCACGAAAGTGATGTATCATGTGAATCAAGGTATTCAAGTAACTACACTTCATACAGATCCACTGGAATTTGGGTCATTATCATTTGGTTGCTTGGAGAGTAAAATTTGTTTTTGGAAAAAGGAAGAAAAGAAAGAATTCATGACCTCAGATTCACCTCAATAGTTTCACCATAAAGCAGATCCATACACCAAAATTCATCTTTCACCGAGACGGACTGCAGCAGAAGTTGTTCACGGATAGAAGGGTTATCCAAGCTGCACCAACGCCATCACAGGAGACAGAGAGCAGCATTACACTCACTTGAGCATTCTTCAATGCAATCAGACCAAACCATACAGTGGACAGCCTTTCATGAAGGATCTCATCATGATAGCCCAATTGTGTGTGTGTTTGAGAGAGAGAGAGAGAGAGAGAGAGAGAGAGAGAGAGAAAGCTATGGAAAACCAAAGTGATCATAAACTAAGGAGAAAATAATGACAGAAGATGGCTAGGAGAAAGAGACTCTCCATAAGCATCACCTAAAGCACATAGCACACTTCGAAGGGTAGCCTCATCTCGATCCTCGTGACATCAAGTTTTAGGATTAATGGGCTTCAAATTCTAGGGCTTTCCTTGGAAAGCAAAAGTGCTCATGTATTTACACAGCTGGAGTTCAAAGCTCCAGCTTGTCCTATGTCTGCATTAAGTAGGAACGATTACATAGACAGCATTTGAAGCATTGCTACATCAAAACTAGCATGCTCTTGCATCTATTTTTCAAATTCTCGACAAAACATCAAAATGACAGTAAATAACATAGATATGTTGACAGACAGGACTTACTGAGTATGAGATTTAACAAAAAACAGAGGAGATACGTGACTATAGTGATCCCTAAACTAGTTCAGAACTCAGCAGAAATGAAAGCAAATTTTTATTAAGCACGGATCTTACATCCCAAAAGGATTCGAAAGATAGATTTTTCTTTTTTTTTAAAAAGCCCAAGGGCTAATCCATTAAAGAGAGAAGATACAGATAAGTTGTATGGGTGGGCCCAAAAATAGACACCCAACCCACATGATACAACACACAAAAAAGTCAAAAAGTGTACATATAAAAATAAAAAACCCAAAACCACAAAGGCATTGAAAAAAGTGAAGGTCATCCCAATCTAATTCTGTTTCTGGCTCTAGATCTCGGAAAGGATCCAACTAACAAGTTGGTAAAGTGTGTATCATTACCCGAAGTAACCAAGTATCATTCATAAGACTCCTGAGCTCATGTAGATCTCCATTTTTTTCTTCTTTCTGGAAGTGTAAACCCGTCATTCCTCATTCGAAGAATCAATCTAATGGAATGGTAGAGCTGTAACAGAAGGATTATCAACCATAGTACCCACAATAGGTTCTGATATATGTGAAGTATGAGTTGCCCCTACACCGGATACTTCCTGAATAAGGGGAGCTGCAGGGTTCTTCTGATTATCCGTCTGAACATTATTCTTTGTAGGTGATGGTCCTTCAGTATTACTTTCTATGGGGTTTGAAGGTGCCAACATCACATCAATCTCAGTAACAGTAGGAGCAATATCAAGGGGGGTCCACATGGACAACAATCACCTCCTGTCTAGTAGTATCCTCCCCAGGTGGATAAAATGTCCATGGCAGTGGGTTACACTTCTTTATTCACTTGAACCTTGAATTTCAAATTAGCGTGGAGCTTGTGGCATTTATCAAGGATATGCTCAAACATCTTACAGCGGGTACAACATGGAGGTCTGTGTTCCATGACAATATGATGTCAATATCCATTATGAGTTGTGCCCAACCAAACTTCAGTAACATAAGTTAAAGTAATATCCCTTTCCTGAGTATTCTGGCTACAAAACGTCTGGTTAGATTGAAAGTGGGTAGATCTAGCTTCATAAGATCCCCAAAGATGGCCCCAATAAAGTAGAGAACCTGATGATGAAAAAAGTGCAGCTTGAGACCAGGTAGACTAAACCATACTGGTACATTGGGAGTTTCATGATTTGGGTCGAAATCAGGAGACCACTTGAGTAACTTCATTGATTTGCCTGCAATATTAAGATATTTCTTGAAGAAAATCCGAGTATAGTCTTCACCCACGGTTAATTGAATCAACACATATCTCTCATCCATGAGTCTCACTTTCCACTTGCATACAAGTTTAAGATCATCAACACTTTTTCTGATAACTTTCATAGGTGGATGTCCCCACTAAAATTTTTCAATAAGAGAAAACTTGTGAAGTATATACACACACACACACACACACACACACATATGTAATGTGCCGCGTACCCCGACCTATTTTGTTGGCATTTTCGGTATAAGACCCCTCAGGTCTGGGGTTCAAATCCCCTCTAGCACAATTGACCTTAAGAAGACCGTACGCAAATTGTTAGCCACATTAGAGGTGGCTGGAGACTTGAATAATAGCCTCTAGCCGTTCCTTTTTAATATATATA